TTTTTTTTTTTTGCTTTGGTTATTTTCTCATTTGAATTTTACAAAAATTATGAAAAATTTATAATGGAATATTTTACAAATGTAATTTAAGAATGAATTATAAGCAATATTTTATTAAATGCAACAAATTTAATGAAGAACAAAAGAAACAATTAAAGTAATGAAATTTATTTAAATTTAAATGAACTTGATGAAGTTTCCTTTTTCCTTTTGATTTGTTTAATTTTTAAAATACGATTAAGTTTAATACGGATAGTTACATTTCGTAAAATAAATACCGATTAATATAATATCATTTGATCATTTAATACAAATGATAAAGCTGATAAAAATGATAAAGCTTTATATGTGTAAGTAATATATGTTAGATGATGAGAAATGCTTTTACTTTTCCATTCTCGAATCTTTTCGATTTTGATCTTGAATTACTTCTGTTTATTGAAATAATAACAACGGCAATAACCGGGGATTCTACCCTGCCTCTTCTTGCCTTTTCATTCCTTTCAGTAATGCTCAGTCATCAAACAATCCATCAACAGTTGATGATGATGATGATGATGATAATAATAATGATGGTTCACCGCTTATGTCACATTCACCGCCACACCAATATGGACATACAAACACCCACACCATCCAATCATCATCATCATCATCATCCATAGCAGAGACGAGACTGTTTCTCAGTTTCAGATGACAACAATCACAGCTGGTACTACTTTCATTCTTCTCCAGATCCTTAAGCTTTTATCAAGCATCATTCTTTATCGTTATCACTTGACTTACTGATTGATTCATTATTTCTTGGTTCATTGATTTGTTTCTTGCTTACTTCTTCATGTATCATTAAACAATTGCTAGTGCGAATGACAATCTATCATTTCATTTCATTTCATTTCATTTCTATTTTATTCATTTCATTTCATTTCTATTTTATTCATTTCATTTCTATATTATCCATAATTGTATGATTTTTCTTTTCAAATAAATCATACATAGTACTGTTGATTAGCATTATTTAGCAGATTTTCATTATCATTTCCAATTTTTTCATTTCTTATTTTCTGTTCCAAACGAAAAATCCAATTTTCCTTTTTGCACTTTTTCTTTTTCCTTTTTTTTTTTCTGTTAAATTATAAGAATTATAAAAATTTAATGAGAATTCTTGATCGAATCGAAACCAAAAAAGTTTCGAAATGTTTTATGATTGTAATATATTCCATGAAATGTTAGGGATTTGCCTACTTGTCTACCTGTGGAACATAACCGTCAACCTGTCACGAATAGTATGTTTCATCTTGTAATTCAATTTTCAAATGACCTTCAAATATTCAAAATCACAGGAGATAATTGTATGTGTGTTTGTGGTTTTCACGTTTTTGATCACATCTGCAATTTTTCACGCAAATTACAAACCATAAACTAAATAGATGTATTTGAAAAGGAAAATGTCACCGTTTTTTTTTGAATATACATATACTTGTTATTGATATGTATATGTACATATTAGTTATGTATTTGTTTATTTGTTTGTTTATTTATTTATTTATTTATTTATTTGTTTATTTGTTTATTTATATTTATGAATGCTTCTATTTTATACTCATGAAGAACTCTTCAATTTTCTCTTTTACGTTAATTTCTCCTTTCCTTTC